GAAGTGTTAGTCAAAGGACTCCAAACCCCAGTAGACAGTAGGCAGGAGCCATGCGTTTGGTGATCTATCTTGTTGCGTGATCACTTTGCTCATAATAATGTTCAGCATGTTTTAAAACTGCTGGACAAATAAATTTCATTTATTTTTATTTTATGAGTCTGAGTGCTTTACCTGCATGTATGTAAGTGAACCATGTGTGTGCAATGCTCACAGAGGCCAGAAGAGGGTGTCAGACCCCCTGGAACTGGAGTTATGAGTGGTTGTTAACTATTATGTGGGTGCTGGGAATCAAACCCAGGTCCTCTGCAAGAGCAGCCAGTGCTCTTAACTGCTGAGCCATCTCTCCAGCCCCACAAATAAAATTTAAAATATCCTTACCACAAAGAAAAATGTTTGTGAAGTGGTAAATGTGTTCCTAGCTGCTGCAGTCCAGATGCAGGGGTCCTAGAACCTGAGTGGGAAGGTAGGGGATGAAGGAAAAAAAGACACAGAAGCAGCTGGATCAGGAGGACCTCTAGGCTGATAGCCAAGCGGGTAGTTTTTTGCAGATTTACAATGCTTTTATTCCTTGTTTCAAAGCAGGAAGTCTTACCATAGAATTTACATAGAACCCCAGGTTTCCTTAAACTACACAGATTCATTGGTCATTTGTAATTGTAGTTTCATTAATTATATATATTTGAATCAGCAGCCACCAAGCTGAGCTAGTAAGAGAAAAACAAGTACCTGAAGGCTGAATACCAGGAACTGTCCTGTGCAGGTCCAGCTCTAAGCCAGCCAGAATAGGCCTTGCCACATCCTGTCAGCTGTTTCTCAGGGGCCAAATTGTCTGCACCTGGCATTCCTCAAGAGTCAACTCCCAGTATGTCCCCCTTTTTTATCTTTTTTGGTCCTTTTTGAGACAGGGTTTCCCTGTAGCTCCAGCTGTCCTGGAACTCACTATTTAGACCAGGCTGGCCTTGAACTCACAGAGATCCACCTGCCTCTGCCTCCAGAGTGCTGGGATCAAAGGTGTGCGCCACCACGCCTGGCTCCTTTTTTATCTTTTAATACAAGCTGAGTTACCTGGGTTCAGGTGCCGTGCAACTTACTCCAAAGCCAAGAGTTGCAACAACAGGACAATATCTCAAGAAGAATGAATACACAGTGCCAACAAGCTTAATGTCATTTGAAAAGTATGCTGTAAGAGATTAAAGAAATTAAGGCTTTAAACTGATATAACAAATCATTGGCTAATTTTCTAGGGGAAATGTAATTGAGCTGGGCAGCACTAAGTTCAATAATTTCTTTTCGCAATTGCATGAGATCTAAACTAAAATTGTTATGATGCCATACCCTTAGTAAATGTTGTACTCATTCCCACTCCCAAGCAGTCTCATTATACTGGAGGGAAGTGATACGTATAAATCTTTAGGCAGCACGACACTGAAGAGCCATCTGATGTTGCATGGTGTATACCTCATCTGCCTGCTGCCAGGTGCAAAACCATTGCTTCCAGGGCCTTCAATCTGGCCTCTATTTTTCTGTCAATGTTTTTTGAGTTTGTAGAATCTGAGAAGTATTGTGGGATAACTTCTTGACAAAGTGAGAAGGGTGGACCTGCTATACCATAGCAGTGGTAGTGAATGAGGCACTAGCCACAGCAGTGACTATGGTAAAAATACTAGCAATAAAGAGCCCAGGGAATCTTGGGATCTGACAAGGCCCTTATGGAGCTCAAAAAAGACCTGTTGGACAAAATTTCCTTCCAGGTATCATTAACTATTACAGGCACCATAACAAAAGGAGGTTGCTTTACAATCAATGAGGCAGGAGGGTGAGATGGGGTGGCATTAATACTATTGGACAAAGTACATTTGTGGCATCAGACCAGGACTCCGTTAGAAACTGGCTCTATAACTGGCTTTTTAAATAGTGGCATCAGAGGAGGGTTCACACAAGCAGTGAGTCCAAAAATCATGGAACGTCCATACTGTAATTGTTCTTTTTCACTAAAAGTCCCATTAATTTTAACCATGTCCATGGTGGTGGTGAGGAGCCACAAATCTGGTTGTAACCTTCCATTTGGAGCTCATAGGACTGGACGGGACCAAAAAGCGGTACCACAGAATAGGTCATAATCCATACCAGGAGGTCACCAGCAAAGATCAAGAAATACCTCCTTCTGACTAAGTATGGTGATGGGATTAGCTAGTAGATGTGAGCACATTTCCTAACTCAGAATTTGATGAACTTGAGGGGCAGGACCCTCAAAACAAGAAGATAGTTGGTTAATGTGGGGGGGCAGTGAACACAGGGGTACATGCCAAGGGAAAGCTCAGGTGATGAATGAAATGCAGATGGTTGGAGAATTGAAAGCAATCTTTCTAATATTAAATCCACAAACTCTAGCATCACCCGGGTAAGAGGGAGGCAACCCGCAAGTTCAGAAACAGTACTTGACAACTGAGATGGAATCCCTAAACAATTGTGGAAGGTTCAGTATGTCCTACCTGTAATTGTTCTTAAACTAACTCATGAGCAGCAGCTAACTTCTTCTAACTGATCCACCCAGACTGTCTTTGAACTAGTCCATACAATAGCACCTGCATAGGTCTAGGAAGAGGAGACATCAGTGGCCCACAGAAAACCACAGCCTCTCCTTTCCTTGACCGGGAGAGGCATATGAGGTTCAATAGTCCCCTGTTGTTGTTTACTGAGATCCTTTCTAGGGTCATATCCACACTGTCACAGTTACTTGGAAACAGTGGGTGAAGGGGCAGAGACCATGACAAGGAGGGAAGGGAGTACATAAGGCTGACGAGTGCCTTGATGCCCCTCCAGTGATTCCCAATTAAGTAAATTTGCACCTTTTTCAGGATTCTGTGTCTGTCTGATTCCCCGTAGTATAAGCCATATGTTTCTTCCACTCAAGTGGCCAATGTTGGCAGCTGAGAACAGAAATGTCAGTCCTGGTATCAATATGACCTTGACAAACATTTCTCTGAATAATTAATGTCATTTCTGGGTGTTCTAGTCCTCATCGTTCTAGGTAAAATACCTGATCAAAAGAACCAGATGCTGGTCTCCTCCTTTGCAAGTGGCCTGACAATCTCCTAACTGGCACCCCAAAGACAGGATAATGAACTGAGCCAGAGGCTGTCCCGTAGTGAAGGTAGATATTCCCATAGGAGAGTGAGCTATGACCTTAATTTCTCCAGTGTAATCATAATCTATAACCCCAGGTAGGACATGTTGGGGCTGCATCTGGCCCTGGGGCAGGGGTTGTCCAGCAACAGTAGACTTTGCTCTCTACCACTTCATTCAACATATTCACTTTTCAGTAACAAAACGTTTCCTCCTGAGAGGCAAACTTGTAGCAATGCTATGCCAGTCAGAGGAAGGCAAGGCATTGGCAGCAAGGGAGTCTAGTAAAGTAAGAGTCAAAGGTATCTGAAGACTGAGTAGGAGGAACTGTTCTGTCTAGGTTGAGCCCCAGGCAGTCAGAATAGGCCTTGTCATATCCTGTTGGCTGTTCCCCAGGGGCAGAATTGTCTGCACCTGGCAGCCCTTAATAGTCAAGTCCCCCAAAATTACACTTAAGATAAGTATTTTTTTAATTCAAATGTTTTATTTATTATTTCCATTTTATGTGTATGAGTATATTGCCTGCAGGTGTGTAAGTGCATCCATGTTGTGCAGTGCCCACAGAGGTCAGAAGAGGGCATTGGATCCACTGGAACTGGGTTTACACACAGTTGATAGCTACCATGTGGGTGCAGGGAACCGAACCTGGGTCCTCTGCAAGAGCAGTCAGTGCTCTTAACTGCTGAGTCATCTTTCCAGCTCCAAGATATTAAAAAAAAATTTGAATCTTTACAAAACTTTGTAATTTGTTAAGACACTTTTTAATATGCAAGGAAAGAAATAGAGAGTATGTGTGCTTCATCCCATTGTGGTCCCCTGTATTCTAATTACTTCTCATATTTCTGTCACTGGGCACAAGTGGCAAATGGAGCAGTTTCTAAAGAAACTGTATATATATATA